TTCTCACTAGTCCCTTTCTTCACTTTTGATACCAGAGTCCCTCTGCCTCCTGATCCCTAGGATAAGGGCTCTCACAGTAGGAGGGACCAGATATTTGTTTTCTTAGAGGTTGAGTCTTTGTTTTCTCTGTTATGCTGCCTCTGGATCAGATATCCTCTGCCTCCCAGCTTCTCTCTGTGCTGCTTTTCTTGGTTTCCCCTTGTGTCAGTCCAAAGCTATCAGAAGAGAGAGGATGGACAGAGGGAGGCGAGAGGTTTGAAAATATGATGAATAGCCAGTTGGGAGTGGAAGCATTGGGAAACGGACAGATGGCTGGCGCACATTAACGCCCTTTCATCATTATGTGTAGAGTCTTTCAGTAAGTTCTTGGCTGATGCAGATAGCATTTTGCCATAAATGTTGATATTAAATTAACTGTATATGGGCTGTCAAATTACATCAAATAAATATTTTAAAACAGGTAATGCAAGTGGTATTAATAGTCTCAATCTTGTTCTTTCAATTAGAAAGGTTTTCAATATTTATATTTTCAGTTTGATTTCTTGTAACTGTAAGATTTCTGTATTTTTTTTCTTATTTATTTATTTTTGAGTTGGAGTCTCACTCTGTTGCCCAGGCTGGGGTGTTGTGGCACACTCATGGTCACCCCAGTGTCGACTGCTGGGTTTCAGCGATCCTTTCACTTCAGCCTTCCAAGTAACCAGAACTACAGGTGTGCGCTACCATGCCCAGCTAATTTTTTATTTATTGTAGAGACGGGGTCTCACCAAGTTGCCCAGACTGGTCTCAAACCCACAGGCTCAGGTAATCCACTCGCCTCTGCTTCTCAAAGTGCTGGGATTACAGGCTGAGCCACTGAGCACAGCCTATTTGTTTTTTTTTATTTTAAAGATATGGGGTACAATTCAGAGTTAGGTATAAAAATGTTCATTATGCAGGTACCCTTGTTGATGAGGTGTGCCCCTCTCTCCCATGACAGTTTCCCTCAACTGCCAATCCCACTTCCACTACCCTGGCAGTCTCCACTACTGCCAATCCCTTTCTTATAATTTTATGATAATTGTTCAAGGTCCACTTATGAGTGAGAACATATGGTACTCTGTCCTTTGTTTCTGTGATAGATCACTGAGTATGATAGACTCTAAATCCATCCAAGTTGCTGCAAAATTCATATGTTTGTTCTTCTTTATGGCTGCCTAATATTCCATTGTGTATATGTACCACATTTTTTTATCCAGTCCAGCTTTGATGGGTAGCGTAGTTGGTTCCATGATTTTGCAATTGTGAACAGAGCTGCAACAAACATGCATGTGCAGGTATCTTTTTGGTAGAATGACTTGAATTCCTCCAAGTATATTCCCAATAGGGGGATTGCTGGGTCATATGGAAGGTCAATTTCTAGTTCTTTCAGAAATTGCCACATTGTCTTCTAAAGAGGCTGTACTAGTTTGCATTCCCACCAGCAGTGTAGAAGCGTTCCTTTTTCTCCACACCCTTGACAGCATCTGCTGTTTGTTTTATTAATGATGGCCGTTTTTACTGGGGTTAGGTGGTATCTCAATGTGGTTTTGATTTGCATTTCACTGATGATGAGTGAGGCTGAGCACTTTTTCATGTATCTGTTGGCTGCCTGTATATCTTCTTTTGAGAAGGGTCTATTATGCAGATACCCTTGTTGATGAGGTGTGCCCGTCCCTCCCATGGCAGTTTCCCTTAACCGCCAAACCCACCTCCACCCCCTGGCAGTTTCCCACTACTGCCAATTCCTTTCTTATAGTTTTATGATCATTGTTCAAGGTCCACTTAGGAGTGAGAATATATGAGAACAAGTGGTCTTTTGCCTACTTTTTCATGGGGCTATTTTTTTTCCTTTTGGAGCATTTGAGTTCCTTGTAGATCCTAGACGTTAGGCCTTAGTCAGATATACAGTTGGCAAATATTTTTTTCCTTTCTGTGGGCTGTCTCCCCACTCTCCTGATGGTTTCTTTTGCTTCCCAGAAGCTTGTCAGTTTGATGAGGTCCCACTTGTCTATCTTATATCTTGTGGTATGGGCACTTGGGGTTTTGATCAGGACTTGGTTGCCAGTTCCAATTTCCATAAGGGTGTCTCCTGCATTTTCTAAGGTTCTTATAGTTTGAGGTTTTACGTTTAGGTCTTTGATCCATTTAGAGTTAATTTTTGTGTATGGTGATAGGTAGAGGTCCTGTTTCAATCTTCTGCATGTGATCAGCCAGTTTTCCCAGCGCCATTTACTGAATAGGTTCTCCTCTCCCCGGTGGTTGTTGTGGGAAGCTTTGTCAAAGATGAGTTGGTTGAGAAATTGAATCTTTATCCTGTTCCAGTGATCTGTATGCCTGTTCTTGTAACAATATCAGGCTGTTTTGATTATTGTAGCCTTATAGTAAAGTTTAAAGTCTGGAAGTATGATACCTCTTGCTTTGTTTCTTTTGCTAAGGATTGTTTTGGCCATTCATGGTCATTTGTGTTTCCATATGAATTTCTGTATTGTCATTTCCAGGTTTGAGAAGAATGATGTTGGCAATTTAATGGGTATTGCAGTGAATCAGTAGATTGCCTTTGGTAGGATGGACATCTTAACAATGCTGATTCTTCCTATCCATGAGCATGGGATATTTTTCCATTTGTTGTGTCTTCTTGGATTTCTTTGAGCAGTGTTTTGTAGTTCTCATTGTAAAGGTCTTTCACTTCTCTGGTTAGGAAGATGACGAAGTATTTCATTTTTTGTGTTGCTATTGTAAATAGGATTGTGCTTTTTATTTGGTTCTCTGCCTGTTAGTTATTGGTGTATAAGATTGCAACTGTCTTTAGCACATTTATTTTGTACCCCGAGACTTTGCAAAAGTCTTTTATCAGTGCAAGTAGGTTTTTGACAGATTCCATGGAATTTTTGAGATATAGGATCATATCATCAGCAAAGAGGGATAACTTAACTTTCTCTTTTCCTATTGGGATACCCCTGATTTCTTTCTCTTGTCTAATTATTCTAGCTTGGACTTCCAATGCAATGTTGAACAAGAGGGTGAGAATGGGTGGCCTTGTCTTGCTCCAGTTTGCAGGGGAAATGTTTCCAGTTTCTGTCCATTTAGCAATATGCTAGCCATAGGATTTTTGTAGATGGAGCTTACTATTTTGAGTTATGCTCCTTCTCTACCTAGATGTTTGAAGGTTTTTATCAAGAAGTGATGTTGGATTTTATCAAAAGCTTTTTCTGCATCTAATGATATAATCATGTGGTTCTTGTTTTTACATCTGTTGATGTATTTAATTACATTTATGGTCTTGCGGATGTTGAACCAGCCTTGCATCCCGGGGATGAAGCTTACTTGGTCATGGTGGATGAGATATCTGTATATCTTTAGGGAATTCATCTTACATTGAGTAAGTGACATATTTGTTCTATTGACAGTGACTCTGTCTGCAGAGTCTACTCAGCTTCATCATATGTAGTTACCCTATGTTAATACTGAAATTTAATAATGTTAAAGAGCTTGGGCATTTTAAGTAAGCTAAATGGCATATTTCAAGTTGATGCAGATTTAGAATTTGTTCACCATAATCTCAAGACAATATATCCTGTGCATTCTGAAGTGTTATACAAGTACCACCATGGAGGAGAACTATGTACTTTGAACTGGGAAGTTGGGGTGTTGCTTTTTGTAGTCTGTGAACATGCCTGCATCTAGAGGGTCCTAGGGATGCCCAGGGATGTATGATATTGCCTCTCTGTCTGGTCACATATACTTCATTTATATGCAAAAAGAAAGATTTAACATGATTTCCTAAAAATAATTGTTGTTTAGTATCCTAAAACAATGATACCTAAGATTACCCCATGAAAGAAAAACTCATTTTATCACACTGGTATTAAGCCACACGTGACTTTGGCTGGAAGTAGTTATGTCTCTCAGAGTATACAGAGGACTTTTCCCTTGGGACTTATGTTTGCTATCCAGAGGAGATGGCTTTTAGGTGAATCATTATCTTCCCCATTTCTCCTGAGCTGTCCATTTGTGGCTTACCCTAGAATTATTCTTTGTGGGGGATACACACACACACACACACACACACACACACACACACACACACACACATACATACACCCTACATATGCATATATTCCTTTCCTTCTTACACTATTTTCTTTTCAAAAATTTAAAATTTTTTATGTTTTTTACCTCAGTGAAATCCAATTCTACAAGCCATTTTTTGAGAAATGGTTTTCTTGAGATTGAGATCCTAGTGACATCTATGAAAAGAAGGCACAGATACTAGGGAAATGTCAGTCAGGACATAAAAAGGGATTTGCTCATAATATTGCCAGGAACTGGTTGGAAGTAGAAAAGAGCTATATTTTGAGTTTTGGCTTGAGGCAGAAGAACAGGAAAGGGTATGGGATACAGAGACAGTAATTCAGAAAGGCACCGAAAATGAAGGGCTGCCATCTTGCTGATAAAAGATATAAAACCAAGGAAGAGCATGTAGTAGGATGGGAATATAGTAGTCATGTGACCTCATCATTTCTCCTAGTTTCTAGTCCATGGATACAGTATTGGAGTCTTTTCTAGAATCGTATGGAGGGGTAGAAGTTTTAGGTCAGTCATACACTGCATTGCAGTTCCAAGGTCTTTTAAGTATTCACATGTGCCTCAGGATGTATAATTTCAGCTGTAAGTGAAGGAATCTCCTGATATTGCATTTTCAGTTTCCTTTAAACTAGACAGAATTTTAGTAGTGGTAACTGTGTTGGACAAGGGCAAGGCAGAAGGAGGATAATTGGAAGACAGGTCTAGAAAGTTGAGTGGATGTCCCAGAGTTCTCATTCATTCTCTACAGAGCAGTATGCTTATAGCTTAGTTTTTTCCAGAGCAGGCAACCCTAGATCCCAGCTACTAAGGAATAGTTCTGGCCCCACAGAAAGGCAGAGGTTGTGATGTGTGAACAGTAGGGTGGGTAGGAGATGGGGTGTGGGGAGTGTTACCTCTCCAGCACTGTAACTTCGAAGCCTCTGGAGGTGCTGTCGATGAGTCAGGTGATTGGGAAGACGACCATTCTGAAGAGGGATTCGGGGGTCAATGAAAGTGGTAGCTCGACTGTTGTGGTCCACGAAAAAAGACTGCAGACAAACCAGGGAAAAAAGCACATGATGTGAGAACAGGTTAAAATGGAGTCAATAAGATAAGGTAAATGCTACTGGACTCAGTCATCAGGTTTGTTACTCAGCTAGCCTAGATGGGGCACAGGGACACTGTGTGTCTGTTTGCTCAGTAGTTTAATGAAGCATATAAGTCATGGATAAATATGCTACACTGTGGAGTTTATAGAGTAGTGAATGTATACTTTATATAACATGGAAAGTAAGAGAAATACAGTCTCTGATGGATTAAATACCAGTAATTAATGATTTGATTTATTTACTTTTATGACAAACGTTCTTTTTTGATTATAGAATGAGCACATTTTCACTGAGAACAGCTTGAAAAAGATAAGGAAGTGTAAAGAAGAGAACCAAAATTATCTCAAATATCACAGCCTGCAGGTAATTACCAAAATATATTGGTGTTTGTTTCCCCCTAGTCTTTTCCTATGTACATATGTAAATATATACATATTTTCTCCACATTTCTCTATATCTCTACAATTTCTCCATATCTCCACATTTCTCCATATCTCTACAGTTTTACTAAAGGATTTTTCACGTATTTTACGAACATTTCCTTATGTCATCAAATATTTTTCTTTTTATATTTTATTAAATATTTTTCTAACAGATAATTTTAATGAGTATGTGATAGTAAATTTGATGGATATATAATGTTAATTGCAGTACATTTTATTATTGGACATTTGACTTTTTAACTGTTCTAAAATAATGCTTCAATAAATAATCATGTATAAAAATCTTTGTGCCATGTATGATTACTGTATGAATTCCAATATATGGTAAAAGTTGTTCTTTAAATCTATAATTACTTCTCATAAAATAGAAAGTTTTACTTTTTGATCTTAAAAAAATTTTTTTTTGAGTTGGAGTCTCACTCTGTTGCCCAAGTTGGAGAGCAGTGGCATGCTCCCTGCCACCGCAGCCTTGACCTGCTGGGCTCTGGCAATCCTTCCACCTCAGCCTTCCAAGTAGCTGGAACTACAGGCACGTGCTACAGTGCCTGGTTAATTTTTGATTTATTGTAGAGACGAGGTCTCGCCAAGTTGCCCGGGTGGGTCTCGAACCTGCGGGCTTAGGCAATCCACTCGCCTCAACCTCCCAAAATGCTGGGATTACAGGCTGAACCACCAAGCCTGGCCGTTTTACTTTTTTATTTGACAAAACCTTTTGTAATATAGGACAACCTTTAAATTACTCTCTTTTGAACAAAATGTTATGTTTGGTGGAGACATTTAGCCTTAAATGACCTCATCTGATGCTAGTTTAGATATTTTTAGATTCACCTGACAGAAGCGGAGACATTTTATGCAGATTTAGAAATTATTCTTGGAAGGTATGAGTTTTTTAAATTTCAAGTATTGGATATCACTGTAAATAAACCTTTTAAAGAGCTCTATAAAAAGTAATATAGGAAATGGTTTCATTATTGAGATCTAAAATTTACCCCTTAGGATTAAGGAAAATAACAATTCTCCTAATCATCTGAATCAATATTTGTGACTTGTGGTAAAATTTCCCAAGATAGCATCCTCCACAGATTCAAAAAGGGCTGCATTTCCAGCTGGAACTGAAGATGATGCACCCTGAAAAGCTGTTAGATGACAAACAGTGACACTAGTGATGTCAAAAATACAGGTAAATAACCTGGCCAGGTGTGGTGACTCATGCCTGTAATCCCAATACTTTGGGAGGCTGAAATGAAAGGATGGCTTGAGGCCAGGAGTTCAAGACCAGCGTGGGCAATATAGCAAGACTGCATATACAAAAAATAAAATAAAATAATTAGCCAAGATTGGTGGCCTGTGCCTGTAGTCCTAGCTACTTGGGAGGCTGAGTTGGGAGGGTCCCTTGAGCCCAGGAGTTTGAGACTACCGTGAAGAATGATTGCACCACTGCACTCCAGCAGGGAAAAAAAAAATCAAAATTTATCAATGTTTAACACAAGATTTGATGTACACAAGTATAAGTTAAATTAATAAATATTAAAAGTAGACTTTATTATCCAAATACATGCCTAGATGTTTATAAATAGGTTCCTTATATTTGTGCATATGTGACAATTTTTAGAATAAATTCCTATTAGTTGAATTAATTACTGGATTAAAAATACTTGTGATTATCGATCCATATTAACAAGCTACCTTCATGACAATTGAATCTATAGATTTATCATGTCACCACTAGTCCACGAATCCTTCTTTTTATAATGCTCTCACAAATGCTGAGCAATTTTAAAAGAACCCCTGGAAATGTTAAATGGTAAATAACAGTTAATTTCTCAAGGAATTTACAAAAGAAAAACACTTTCTCATAGGCTTATTGGTCAATCCTTAGAGTATTGTCTGCTATGTCTGCGCCTTTTTTTTTGGTTGTTGTTGGAATGTTAAGGTTTTTGCACTTAGTTACATATCTGTCTTCAAACTAGCTTTTGACTTTTGTTTGCTTTATTTTATAATACACAGAATTTTTTATAGTCCTATGCATTAAAATCTCTCAGTCATTTCTCTTTAAAGGTAAGTCAAATGTTTAACTATTTTTCTAGTTTTAGTTTTGGTGAGTTAATTGTTGACATTGAATCTGTAAGCTTTCTGAAACTTATTTTGATATAATGTAAAATTGTGGTTTAATATTTTTCTCAAAGAACCCATTTTTCCAAATTATTCATTCTGTACTGTTTTATTCCATATAAATTTCTTATAAATATTTTATTGTATATTTCAGGAATATTTTGTCTGTTCCAGTGGTTTGTGGGCTTTTCACTGATTATCACACAATTCTAATTACTAAAGTCTATAGGGCAAATTTCCTCTTTATCTTTTCTGAGATTTTCTTTCTTGTGTGCTTATTTTGCCAGATGAACTAATATTAATTTTTATTAAGTTCCAAAAATAGTTCTATTGCGATTTGTTAAGAATTACTTTGAGACTATAAATGATTTTAGAGTTATTTCATTCTTTATGACAGTCGGTGCACCCATTTCCCATTTCTCAACATGTCTGTTAAAGAGTTTTTTTCTCAGTGAAGTTTTGTAGTTGTTTTCCTGAAAGACATATATTTCTTTGGCAAGATAGTTTATAGGCATTTAATATTGTTTGCTGCTATTCTGAGTGCATCCTTTCCTATAACATTTTACAGCTCATCATTGCTGGTACCTAGGAAAGCTATTATTTGTGTACTGTCTGCTCATTGTATGACATGCTTCTAGCAAATAAACTACTCTTTTAAGTATATGCTCTTTGATTTTTGCTTGCAAGTAATGCTAATTTTGTCTCCTCTTTATCGGGACTCTTTTATTTTTACCTCCTGTCTTGTAATATTGGTGAAAACTTCAGGAACAATGTTAAATAAGAGGTGGCCATCACAATCTTTTCTTCTTTTTTATTTTGATGAGAAAACTACTGGAGCCCCAAATAAGACATTGCTCATTGTTTTAAGGAAGGCTTTATTAGGATAAGAAAACATCTTTATATTCCTAATTTACTAAGAGTACTTTTTGTTTTTAAAATATAAATGTGTATTTAATTTTTATCAAGTACTTTTCTAGTATTCCTTAAAGTGATCAACTGAAATTCCTCAATAGTTTGTAAACTATTGGTTACAATGCTAGTGATAATAGATTTGCATCTTCAGAAGAAAATCTGTTAATTATACTGGGTCATTCTTTTAATATACTGTCTAACTTAATGTTTCATTTTTAAATATGGGCTTTTTGGAACTCAAGCGAGTTTTGCCTATAGTTTTTTTTTTAATTCAGAAATTCCTAGTTTTTAGTTAGGTGTGTGTGATTAGTTCTACACAATTTGATCACATGTGTAGGTTCATGTGTCCATTATGACAAAGTCAAGACGAACCAGAGTTCCATTACCACAAGGATCCTTCATTTTGTCCTTGTAAAATCACACTCACTTCCCTCCCACCTCCATTCCATGGCTAACTCCAGGTCAATCACTAATCTGTTTTCTGTTCCTGTAATTTTGTCATTTCAAGAATGTTACATAAATGAAATAATCCAATATATAAACTTTTAGAATTAGCTTTTCTCATCCAGCATTATTCCTTGAGATTCACCCAAATTATTGCATTTGCTCTTAATATTCCATTGTATGGATGTACCACAGTTCATGCCAATGGTTTTTGCTTTTTGTCTGGTTTTATTAGTAAAGTTATTATTGCTTCATAAAACAAACTATGCAGTTTCCATTTTTTCCTACTTCTGGAGTAGATCATAAAGTTATGGGAGTCTGGCAAGTCAATTCATAATGCATGACTACAGGTCTATTCAAATTTTATATTTCCTAAGTCAATTTTAAAAATCACTTATATATATACTTAAAACTTATTCATTTCTTCCAGACTTTCTAACATTGATTTCAAACATTAATATAAGTAGGCATATATTTTTTTCTTTTAAAAAAATTTTCCTGTATCTGTTTCCTTTCATTTCTCATTTATTTGTTTTATTTATTATCTTCCTAAGATTGATTTATTTTTCTTTTAAAGGAATACATTATTTCTCATATCATTTTTTAATTCACACTTTTTGAGTTTTAAATAATTGTTTTCAAATAAAATTTGAAATAAATTTGTTTTAATTACTGTTGCATTTTTATATTTTATCTAAGTTTTTGACTTGGAAGCTTATGTTTTGTATTTATTTTTCCTGTTAATACTATAAACATTTAATACTACTAAATTTTTAAATATATCTTTTCTATTTTTTACTAAGTATTGTTCACATGTATTTTCAATAATTTTTCAATGGTTTCTAAAGTCTTTATTTTATTTAAAACCCAACAGTCATCTGCTTTGAATCTCCTATTGGCAAAGATTTTGTTATTGTGGTAGTATTTAAATTTGTTACTTAAAATTCACTTTTATTGCTTTATGGTTATAGGATATGATCTGATTATTTTCTGCTTTTGGGGGTTTTTTGCAGTACAGAACAGTATCAC